CGGCTCTGCGATCTCCCTCCTCGTGCATTGCCTGCAGCTCCCGACACAGCCCCGACACTTCTGCTTCTGACAGACAGCAGCGGTGGCCAATCAGGCGGGCGGGCTGGATAAATGACCCTGGCGGGCTGTATCCGGCCCACGGGCCGTACTTCGAGAACCCCTGGCTTAATGTGTCAAGCTTGTGGTTCTCAAAAGAAAGAGGTAAGATAATTAGTATTTCTAAAACAGGGTTCCTCAACCTTGGCAGCTTTAAGATGGGTGTACTTCAACTCCCAGAATTCCCCAGCCAGAAGGCTGGCTGGGGATTCTGGGAGTTGAAGTCCACCCGTCTTGAAGTTGCCAAGGTTGAGGAACTCTGTCCTAAAGGACTGTCAAGCAGTCTTGAACTTTGTAGTTTTAAGATTACTCTTAAAACTTGATTAATCTCAAAGGAGCAAGCACACATTTATGCAGATGAGAGAGAGAGGCAGCAGCTTGAAACATATTTGCATTTTTCAGGCATGTCCAATTGTGGTAAAGGCTTTTGGTAGAAAATGTTCCTAGTGTCTTTCTTTTCTTCTTAAATATGAGCCGTTTCAGTTAGCTTTTCTTTTTCCAATTAGCAATACTTTCAAAAATATATTCTTTTGGCAGATTATTGACTTCACTTTGGCTTTGCTAACTTCCTGTATCCTTCTTCAGATATTTCTTTGTGGTTTACTGCACTTGACATGGGCTTAAGTTCTGGTTGTCATCTGGATCAATTGCAACAAAATACTTTCCAGTTTAAATTTGCCATTTTTTTTCTTTGCTTTTTGGCTACAGCGGTTAAAATAGATTAATGCATTGGGAAGGCCTGCATCTTGACTTTATGAGTAATTATCATTATGTTTCTGGAAGAGGATTGGTTAATGTTCTCAAAGGATTTTTGGAGTATTCCTCATGAGTTGTTCTTTATTGAATAGTAGTATGAAATTCATGGGATAAAATCTTAAAAAAAAAAAAAGATTTCACAATCTTCATATAATCATAGAGTTGCAAGGGACATTTAGGTCAATAAATGTAATCCTTTGCTGAGTACAGAAACCCAAATTAAAATACAGGTAGTCTTTGGTTAATGACAGTAATTGGGACTGGAATTTCTGTCACTAAGCAATGTGGTCATAACATGCGACATCATGTGACTGCATTGCTAAATGACAGCAATCCCGGCAGTCCCTGTTGCCGTTGTTTGTTTTGGAAGCTGTATTTTTATTGATACAGCCTAAAATTTAATTTCCCTTTTTTGGAGCCATGTCTTACTGCTGATTCATTTTCAGTTTGTGGTCAACATAATTCCAAGATTTTTTTCACATATACTGTTAACAAGGCAGGTAGCTTTCATCCTATACGTATGCATTTTTCTTTTTTCTAAGTGGAAAAAATCAGGATGTTTTTCTTTTATATATTATTCTGCTGTTTTCAGCCACCTCTATCAAGATCCTTTTACATTTTGATTACCTTCTGCAGTATTACCTAGATTAGTCTGACCAATTCATGCTTGTCATCTTGTAATCAGTGCATTGCTTTCAAGATGCTTACAGTTTAATTACTTGCTGTCTGCTCTAGAATCCTCCTAAGTATTGATATTTACATATATACTACCCAGATTGCAAAAGTATAGTAATGTAGGGTATCACTTTAGCTAACTGGTAGGCTATATCAAAAATGAAATATGTGCAAGTAATTGCTTTCTCTTTTTTTCAGAATCACAAAGCCTAATAGTACTAATTTATATTTATATGATAGAACCTTATATTACTTACTGTGTTGTTTGCAGAAATGGTGCAATTCTTTTCCCTGAATTAGGGTATAAAAATAGACCTAATAGACAGGGATAGAAGAAAAAGACCTCAAGTGATGTTCAGTAGATGGCAGGTTCTTCAAATATTTCAGTTCAAGGTATTATTGATCATAAGCACTGCTTGGGCTGAGTCCAGAAAATTAAGATTATTTGGGAGTCAGTGGAGATTCAGCAAATCCAGTGTAATAGACTGATTGATCATCAAGGGCATAGCATGCTGTGGCGAGCATTTTTATAATAAATAAAATACTTTCAAGTATTTTTTTCAAGATAGTTTTATATGAACTTTATTATTATTTTTAAGTTCAAAAGAAAGTATGATGTAAAGTAAACACCCTTGAAAGTTGTTCGATTTTTTTTTTCCATGCAGGGACCTGAATTGATGAACAAATATGTTGGGGAATCTGAACGTGCAGTCAGAGAGGTTAAGTATAATAAACTTAACAGTACAACAGATCATATTTACTTATAGGAGGGGTAGGCAAACCATGGGGTTGCAGGATGGGAGAGAAGAGTGTGCCTACTTATATATAGATGAGTATCCAGCATCATCAAACAGCTATAAGGCCATATCACCTGTCAGAACCATTGCTGATCCTGGTCTGGAAACTATCACCCTTGACAGCTGAATCACTAGGCATTTTAGTTATCCAAAGTGGTTCAGGATGTTAAGGATTTTATAGATAAAATATTGATGCTTTGCAACCAAGTGCTTTTACTAACTGCAAGTCTGACAGATTTATCTACTGATATGGGAGGGCCACCAGAGCAGACTTTGTTGGATGGCTGAGTGGGAGATTTGTTAAGCCTCTGTAAGATCACAGTATACCTTTCAACAATTTGATTTTTTTGTCATCTTGGTGCATGTTTTTTCCCCTAGATATTTAGGAAAGCCAGAGCTGTTTCACCGTCCATATTGTTCTTTGATGAAATAGATGCCTTGGCTGTAGAACGGGGAAGGTAAGAGAAATTATTTACAAAAAGTATATTTTATGCTTATGTGAGACTTGCAGTTCCATGGTTCTAAAGCTTTCTCTGCTTTGTATTTCTGCATGAAAGCAGTATTATTTATGAATAAGAAGATGGCTTTTTTATTTATCTGTCCTGAAAATTAATAAGAAATTGATTGGACTGGCACTAACTTGGAAAAGATCTTTATCCTCTCCATTAAACACTTTAAAGCTTTTTTCTTTTAAAAACAGCCATGGGGCAGCTCCTAATTTTATTGAAGCAAGGATTTTTGGGGAGAGGTGTGTTAAAACTTTTCTCTCATTCTGTTTGGCTGATCGAAATTGCTACATGAAGTTGGTTGTTTCATTATAGTAAGATAGATATATTCATTATGCAACTCTCCTTCCTCTTTGCAGTGAGAATGATAGGAACTTTAGGGAAGAATGGATCAAGTAAACATCATGAGAAGGAGAAATCATCCTAATTTCGGTCAGCACAGCTGCTTATCTAGATTAGGACAGTTCTTCCCTCCATACTTTAAAAGAACAAATAAGTCACGTACCTTCATACATATCCTACTTCTGTTTTTGTTTTATACTAAAGACATGCCATGCCTTGAATTGTGATAACCAACCATGGTAGGGAAGTGCTACAGTGAGCTTCTTGTTTAACTGGATTATTTTGGTTTGCATCTGTATTTATTGTTTGCTTGAATGAAGCAAAAATTGGACACAATAAGCGCTAAATGGTCAGACTTAAAACTGATATTAAATGAAACACAAGATTTAAAGCTATCCAATATAATGAAAAAATGAAAAAGTATATTCATTGGCATCTACATTTAAGATGTTTCAGTTTCTGTTTGGATATACTTGACCCATTATCTAATTTCGACATAAGATGGAGAAAAAGGAAAATGAAGTTTTTGCTAGCTGGTACTAAAGGTGGCATATGACTTCGTGTCATCGTGTTCCATTGAAGACATCTGTAAATTGGGTTTTGGGGGGACATAGAAAACAGCAGAGCAAGATACAAATATTTTATTGTCAAATTTGAACCATATGGGTGGTAAAATCTGTAACATGCTTCTCATAACATTCATCTGAAATTGAATGTGTAGGAAACCAGATGAGGCGCTAATTGGAAATGGACTGTTTTTACAGATTGATTTTCCACAGTAGGAATTTGCAAATGCATTAAAGATAGTAATGATTTGCAGCCTCCAGAGATTCACTTTCCTTTTCTATAAGCAGACTGAGACTTTCAAGGAAACACCTGCTAATATTGTCTCACAAGTTTCTCAGTCTTTTTGCTCTACCAGTCACTTTAAACAATCCATAGATTTTTCCCTAATAATATGTAGTTTAAAATCTTGTTTATAATTTACTTAGTTGACAGCATTTAAAAGTGTTTGGAATGTAGATTGGTGGAGGTGGGTAAAATTCCTTTATTAGCTACTCATCTTCATATACAGGACAGGAAAATGTACCTCATGAAGCAGTTGCTTGCATTTTATTTGTAATTGAAGCATCATGTATGTAGTGTAAGGGACAATACTGACATAAAGCCAGCAGCTGCATATTTCTTCTTTATTCTAAAATAAGGGTGATCGTTCTTTTGGAGACCCTAATGTAATGGCTAGAATGCCTTAATATTACTATGTTTTTTTTCTCAATTCACCCTAAAGTTACTTTACTGTATTAAAAATAGATTTATTGTTTTTAATGGATCCCTTTCTGAAAATCCAGACCAGGAACATAGAACATAAGAACATAAGCAGTGTCCTGCTAGATCAGACCCCTGGTTCATCTAGTCTAGCAATCTGTTCTCACAGTGGCTAACCAGCTGCACAAGGAAGCCCACTATGGCCTTCAGAGGCAGTCGCGTTGCGATCTAGGCTCAAAGCATTGATCCCCACGGCTTCCATGAATCGGCCCAACACTTTTTTCAGGCAAACCAAGCTAGTAACCAGCACCACAAATTCCAAAGTTTAATTACATATTGTGTATTTTTCCCTTTATCTGTCCTAATTCTTCCAAGATTCAATTTCATTGAAGGACCTCTGGTTTAGCATTGGGACCAAACAACCTTTCCCCAACCATAGGATTTTAATCCAAACTGAATCCCCTAAATTTACTTTTAAGAAAAGAGAAAGATATAACTGCTAACTATGAAATATATAGTTTGATCCCAAGTCTTACGGGGCAAAGTATTTCAGTTGTACCTAAAATAGATTCCTAATTTGTTATAGTTCCTGTTGCCCTGAGTAGATAGCTTGACTGAAAAAGACCTGCAGGGTTCAGAAACTTTTAACATTTTGAAAAGCATGGAACAGAACATTTGCTTAAACCCCTTTCATCTCCTGACTCTTTTCTCTGTATCCTGCATCAGTATAATTATTTTCTCCAACTTCTTTGTCTACTTAAATCAGTGATCCAAGAGAAGTTTGTATGCTATGACCTACTGTTGATTCATATAATAGTTCTCCATATTGGCTTGCAAGATGAAAAACAATGTTAATAACCCTCCTCCCTCCCCTTCTAATTCACATTAAATACTTTAATAGCAAAGCATGATGTTTTAAGAAACACCAGGAATAGGAAGAATGAGTGTATGTTATTCCTCTAGGAACTGATTGCTCCTCCTTAAGATTGCCTACTTCAGAATTTGAAATGCTTTGGTTTAAGAAAAGTGCAAAAAGCACAGAAAGAACAGAATTATGTATGATTTCCACATTTTAATAAAAAAGATTGGAGAAAATAAAATGAGAGGTTTTATTCTGAAGTATTGTGGTTGTTCCTGCTGACTACCATAAAATCAGTTTGGCAGAAAGATTTGTTAAAATATTTAATAAATCCCTAAGACATAGGGGTATATCTGGCATATATTATATGTAACTGGCCAATCCACAGTCCAAGTGTACAACTAGTACAATCTGTACTACTAAAGAAATGGATGCCTTTCTATTTCTTTGTGGCTCCTACTAATATTAGGTTTCCTTTCCTTAGCAGTGTTTTCTCAACTTTATTGCAGAAAAGAAGTCTCCCTTGAGGTCATGTCCACATAAATGTTCCAGATGCAACTATATGAGAGAAGGAATGTTTGTTTCTAAAAAAATCCTTTCCTTTTCAAAGCTTCAGATTTAACAAATTGTACAGCTGAAGAGAATTATGGGTACTTATAATTCCTTGTTATCCTGACCATGTAAAACTTAATTCCACTGACCAGTAAAGGCTGCCAAGAGGAAATGACTTAGTAATTAAACCTGAAGGTGATGAATGAGCCTGGCTCTGTGTAAATGCTGTTCAGACAGTCTGTTTGCTGAACTTGGGATATCTACGTGCTTTGGAAATAAGATGCTGTTTATATATGTAGGATTGTGGGGAGTTTGAGCACTAGACATGTTTGTTCTTTTTTGTTTTTTTATAAGCAGTTTTGGGCAAGAGGTTGGAGAGAACTCTCCTGTTAAATTCTATTCTGAAAAATCCAGCCCCTTGCTGTACATTATTGAAGACCTAAAATTATATAAGGATTCTCATTTCCATTTTAAACCAGAAGCAATAGCTTATAAATATGCTGTCAGTGGTAACCATTTGATTATACTTTAAATGAATAGCTATGTATGGGTATATGTATATGTGTGTGTGTGTACACACACACACACACTCTTCTGGTATGATAAAGTGGCACAATGTAAAAATAAAATCATGATTGATTTGATTGATTATGTGCCATCCAGTCGTTTTCCTCTCCCAGCAACCACATAGATAGATATTCTCCATTACGATGTATCCGTAACCTGGTCTTTCAGGTCTTCCAACAGTGCATTCATCACCACTGTAACTGAATCCACTCACCTTGCTGCTGGTAGCCTTCTCCAGAACTAGGTCTTTGCATAATATTATGTAACCCAACCTATAAATTTCATGTATAGCTATAATTAATTAGCACCTGTAACATATCGAATATGTATAAATTCAGCAATTTAAATTCAGAGGTCATTATTGTTACTGTAACTGAAATATTTTTCTCTGTTCTTATGAAATTTAAATTCAGAGGTCATTATTGTTACTGTAACTGAAATATTTTTCTCTGTTCTTATGAAATTTAAATTCAGAGGTCATTATTGTTACTGTAACTGAAATATTTTTCTCTGTTCTTATGAATTCTCTGTTCTTCCTTCCTTCCTTCCTTCCTTCCTTCCTTCCTTCCTTCCTTCCTTCCT